TATATGCTCGTATAACCCACATTTGTAGAATACTAATTGATATCTCTTATTTTCTTCTTTTTCATCTTCTTTGCAGTTTTATAGTTTACTAGAGCAAAATATTATTGCAAATTCCACTTTAACACTGCGGCCATGTACAGTGTTTGTGCCTACAAATGCTGCATTCCAGCGTCATCATGGACCCACACATGTGCTCTATCACATAAGTGAGTAACAATGCGTAAATAATCAACAAAATTAATTGAAATTGTTTGTCTTGTTGGTGTTGTTGATATTGCTACCTAAACGAATAAATACGAATCATTTCAGCAACCACACCAATGACGCAGGATCAACTTATAAAGGTCATACCATCGGATATGGGTGGTAATCCATCGTTGTATATAACGAAAAATCGCAATGGCGATGTGTATGTGAATAATGCTAGAATAATACCGTCGCTGACGGTCGAAATGACCAATAGTCTGGGAATGCGTCAGGTGAGAAATTGAATTGTACTATATAATAAATACATAAATATTATAACAATATAAATTAATATGCACAAAAAAATTCGAAATTCCTACTTCGATAAGTGCATAACGATAGGGTGTAAAGAGCTATCAGCAGTTGCGATACGATATCGATACAATATTTTGTTTTGGTATCTGAAATATCGCAAAGTTTTCTCTACGTTCGCTGGGCTTCTGAATTGAAAATAAAATTGACTAGTTGGAAAAATTTCGCGTTCTCGCAAAACAGCTTTTGACAACAAAAAATCATAAAAATACAAAAATTTCTGAAATCGGTTTGAAACTTTCAAGAAATAAATGCTCGTAAATTAATTTCCTCAAGAAATTGATTTTAAAGGCACAATACTTTTTGCATAAAAATAATATTAGCTAACCAAGACCAACCAGAGCGGCTGTATTGTCATTTTAGGCTTTGACAGTTTCAATTGATCATGAAACTTAGTATACGCAACCAAAACTTAAAAATTCTTTTTAAAGAGGTTGAATAATTTCTTTTAAATTAGTCGAATTTTTATAGATTTTGTACAAAGTATACAATTTTATCTTACATGGTTTTTGTTAGATAATGAGCTGTACATCTATAAAAAATAATAAACATTATCTAAACAAAAGAAAACTTGCCAAAACTTGTTAAAATGTACCCGCCACCTAATAGACCTGCAAGGACTTTAATTAACTTTAAATATTCGATTTGCTGAAAAATATTTGAGTGCGGTTTAACCCATTAGTGTCCCTCGATAAAAAAAAAAGAATAATTATTATTCATAAATATTGTAAAGAAGAAATTTTTGGGCTATTCAGGCTTATCTAGACCAGAAGAAAAGGCATAGTAATGAGAAACAAATCAACTTGCAGGTGATGCATATAATCGATGAAGTTTTGGTGCCACTTACTCCACTGCCAACTGCCAAAATTGAGTTCACTAATTTGGATGCGTTTCAATTTCTGCAACAGGCTGACCTCTTGGACATCGGCGACAACCGTTTGAGGTTTGTCTAACCAAATTTTATTAAAGCATTTATTAAATTTTCATATTAAATTTCAAATATAGATCATATCGGTCCCAAGTGACTTTAATGCGAAAAGAGAATCTCTACCAATCGCCCGGTGGACACACGTTTCTAATACCCATTGATGAAGGCTTCAAGGTGAGTAATAAAATTCGTTAACCTAGATTTTTTTTTTAAGAAGGCGTGCTATAAAATTAAGTGAATGCTATTGTAATATTTAGTAAATATATCTGAACAGACTTTCCCGCACCATAATGTGACTGAAATAACCTCTGTGACGTACACATACATACAGTCAGCGTCAAAAATATGAATATCCTGACGTTTTGACGATTTTATTTAGCTATACTCTCCATGCCAAATTTTTCCTTTTTTATAACTATAATATATAGTTCAGAAGATTCAAGAAATACCAAAAAAATTGCATAAAAACTTTCAACTTTTCAATTCGATTTCTTAGAAAATTTTTTAGTACGCAGTTAGCCCAGTGGAGGGTGTTGTGCATTTTCTTCCATATAAAAATAGATTTTGTTTATGTGATATATGGAAGAAAATGCGCAACACCCTTGACAAAAAAATCTAAAAATCAATGATAATTTTCAGACTCCTGAAACTGGCACCTTTTTTATACTAAAATTTAATTGGCAACAAAGCTGCGATACTAAGATATCGAATTAAAAAGTTGAATATTTTGATGAACATTTTTTGGTTATTCTTGAATTTTACTCGAGTTCTATTTGACATTAAAAAAATGCTTCTGCTGGTTTTTGCTGTTGAATGAACTATATTTTTATAAACAAAAAATAAGACAAATTTGGTATGGGAAATATAAATAAATAAAATTGTCAGAACGTCGGGGTATTCATATTTTTGACGCTAACTGTATATATGTACATACGTATGCATACTTATAATAACGATTAGATACGTAATTTTATATAGCATACATACAATTTCATTCACAAGCTTAGCACGCGCATATATTTATACAGAGGTGTCATTTAATAGCTAAACACATTAAATTTCAACCGCTAATCAATTAAATGTCAATTAATTGTCACAGCAAACCACACGCAGCAGCCTAGTGGACAACAAAGTGATCGACGGACACGTCATACCAAATAATGTAATTTTCACAGCGGCCGCGCAAATCGAAGTGCCACAAACCACAGCCGCATTTGAGGACAATCTCAAAGTAACAGTTAGCTTCTTCAAACAGAAGGACGGCAAAAGTATGTGGCATCTAAAATCGCTCGACTTTTTCGGTTTGCTTAATGCCTTCCTCATTTTTGTCTTTTCTTTTAGTGTACGTCAAATCAAATACTATTCTAGGTGATTCGAAGCATTCCACTGGCGTTGTGCTAGCGGAAATTGTTAAGGGCAATATTCCGGTGCGAAATGGTGTAGCGCATCTGATTCATCGGCCACTAATGATAATCGATTCGACAGTGACGCAATTCCTACAGGTAGGTGTTCGATTACAAAAACTCATAACATATTTAGCGTGCGGGTGTAGATAATGCGTGTGTGCGTGTGCGCGCGAATATTACCTTTAATTAATACTTTCTTTACACACAAATACAACAAAGAACAAAATTAAACAATAACAATATTCTTGGTACATACATACTACAACACAATTTGCTTAAAATACAACTATCGGTCTATGTGTGTGTGTGTAGATACGTAGGTACATATTGACATGTGACATAACACGCCCCACACAACATTAGTATCCTCTGGTATTCAGTAAATTTACTAATATATTTTAACGGACGAAATCAAATGCACAAGCAAACGCAGTGAACAGCGGCTTTAATTAGCATATACTATGTATGTATATGTATGTAAATGAGCAATATTATTTTGTACAAGTATCTGTCACGTAAAGTTGTAAACATGTTGTAAACGTTTCAAATTTAAATTGGCTGGTTAACTTTAAAATGCTGCTGCTGACTGCGCTTCGCTTAGTACAATACAAAGTATTTTTTAATTTCACATCTAATTTCAGACAAAATTTGATAACTAAGACTATTTGTCGGCACAATAGATAATTGACTACAAAATGTTTTTCAAAATTTAAGCATTCAAAGTATTGCTAAAAATTAACAACTTGTTTTCCAAGAGTAAAATAGGCGAGAAAAACGCTAGTTGAAAGTTATCGTATGTTATCGTATTTTGTCTGCCTTATTATTTATTCGCTGCACTTTTGCTTTGCCTCAAAAATTAATGCTTTAAATTGCAATGGTATAAGGTTAGAGCCAAGTTTTTTTGTTGTTTTTATTTGCTTGCGTAGTAAGCGATAAAGTTTGTCCAAAAATTAAAGACTAATCATCGTACTTAAGCTAGGTTAGACTACTATAATAAAGATTGACGTACAAAAATTCTTCAAGTTTAATATTGATTTCAAAACTCTCACCCATAGCAGAGTAATTAAAAACCGTAATGAAATCTTAAGTCCTTTTTATATAGCTATAGCTAAATAATATGCTTGAACAAAATTAGGCCTTGAGAGCCAGAGTAGCCTAAATGATATTTCAAAATACATTGAGGTACAGCTTAAAATGCATTACTAGAAATAGAATTACGCAGATGCAATGTACTTTCCAGTAAAAGATCGTATTTATAATTTGTAGATCCTCTTTCTGATTCCACTCATAAAAGTTGGTTTTTCATATAGTTTCACTTTCAAGGGCTCTTATTAAAATAGACATATTTTTAGGAATAATTTCGTCGCGAGTGGTAGCTCGCCCTATCTTAGCTGTCAGTTCGAAAACGTCCTATCTCAGCAAACGGTTGAAAAATGCCATATTTCAAGGTTTGATTCAAAAAAGCACTATCTGAGATAGCGCGTTTTCGAATCATTTGTTGAGATAGACCGATCTTCTACTCGACCGTTGACTTAAAATATTAGCTTGAAGCAAAGTTCAGCGCTCTTAATGTCAAAAATTAACTATTTTCAAAAATTTAATATCGTAAACAAACAAAGGGTTCACTCACCCCAAATTTGACTATAGAGCTGGTAGTGTTAGAGAGCCACTTTTGTAAGTTACTCATACGCCACGTTACCCGTCACCATGAATTCCTTACTTTGTGTGTTTAAGGCCAGTAGGCAGCTCTCAAGAAAATGGTGTGTGTGTGACCTAGGAATTTTGGCATCTGATACTTCACCAGCCTGTTGCCTCACTCTTTCCTCAAGAAATAATGAAACGGGCATACATTTCGGTTGCAAGCATGGGTTGCCTTGCGCTCTTTTTTACAAAAAAAAACTTTAGAAAACCGTAGTAAAAAGCGTAGAAAATTTCTTAAGAACTGCGTACTGCCTCAAAAAAATTTGACACAAGAAAATTGTTTAGGCATTTCTTGTTCGTCATTTTATATGGACTTTTTGCTTTTCTTGAGGGATGCATACTGGTCTTTACAAAAAAAAAAAAAAAAAAAAAAATGTATACATAAATAGTATGCAAGCATAAAAAACATACTAAGTAAATATATTGGCGTTTTTAGTTCCCAGACAGTCGAAACTTGGTCAGATGGCGATTTTTTGCATGGTGGTCAATTCCCTTTTAATACACCTGGGTCACAAATAGAAATAAGAAGCGATGCCGAATATGAAAACGAAGTTGAAGCTGAAGATGAAAAACAGTACAATAGGAAACACATCTTCGTACCCAGCTTTTCTTTCACTCTGTAGTATGCAACCTGGGCAAGTCGCGATAAATGTATATAAAACGATTTGCGAGACTAAGAAGGTTCGATTTTTTTTGCAGAGAGTTAATCTACATGAAAGAAATTCCCTTTTCATATAGTGAATATAATGCCTTTTGCCACTAAGCAAGTGATTTGTAAGCAAAACACACAACCGATTTTAATTCTCATATAAAAATTTAGGAGTACCGTTGATTTCTTCAGGATCCAACGATAGGATCTAAACCAAATTAGTAACTTGAAATACTTCATTTCATAAAATAATATATCGGCGAATTGATAGGGGGAGCCCCTTCTTTTACGTTGGTTATAAATATTTTTTGGATATCTTTTCAAAATGGGTTTCAAATATCGCCTTCAGCGTAGTTCTGACAGCACAAGTCCAAGGTATACCAAAAGCTGCAGCAAATTTTTGTTATAATTCGTTAAAAACACCTAAGGTGAAGTGGCCCTTGAACATATGAGCTTAGCTTGTGCTAAGAAATAGTTTTTGCGACGACTCTTTTGAAGACGGTGTGCGATATGTGTCCCGTAAGTATTTTTGTTGGGACATACCTGCTTAGTGTTTTTAAGCAATTTCAGCACTTTGTACTACATACATACATACATATGTATGCCAAAGGAACCAAAAGAGGTCAAAATATTAACCCAGATAATGGAGTGTGATGTGTCTAGAGATTTTTCTTGCAATTATTTTACCGACGTCCAAAATTCCGAATGGGACACATATGTCCTAGACCTCCCAGAATACCGTGGATGGAGGGGCCGATCCTTTTATAATATTTTTTTTTTTATTACATATCTCAAAGCTAAAAAAAACTAAAACCGAGATTTCTCTGCTGGTTACTTTTCGGATTGAAAGGATTAAAGTGAATTTCTGAATTTCCACTGTCTCCATATTACGCAATTTAATGTTGCTGGTACCAATTTCTGTCACGCTGTGGTTTGTAATTCCGTTTGGTTGTCAGGTGAAACACCTAAAGTTTGTACAAAATCGAAAGCCGTATCGGAAGTCTAGCCAAATTGATAGTAGTGTGCCATGTGCTCATGGAAACATACCATTAGGTTGACTTGTTTTTAAAATGTAGACAGTGCTAATGCATTTAGCTAAAACTGTATAGATATTGTATCTATTTTCTGGAGTAAATGTTTCTTCTTAAAATTGTTGTTTTTGAAAAGGCAAATTTTTTCATTGAATTGAAGTGACATATTTTAAGGGCTGCCAGAAAATTTGTATACTGTAAAAACGAAATTGATGGATGTATTTTTTAAGATATTTGAGTGTTAAGCTGAGATCCCACGATTCCCGCAAATGGACCAATCTGGAACAATTTTTATTGTGCTGTATTGTAATTGTCTCAATGAAATTCTGTACAGTCACACGGTTGCCTCCTTTTATACAATTCTCATTGCCGTAAGTTGGCGAAAAGCAATATAGTGACAATAATTGCCCCAAACTTATCACACGATTGTTCGAGCATGCGGCAATTGTGACCATAAAGTGTTGCGCTGACCTCTAAATTCTGTTTTTTTCTCTGTTGTGTAAAAATGGCGTATTCTTAATAAAAAAAAAATAAATCAATTGCATCTGCTTTGTATATTGCTGGCTCATTTTGTGCAAATTTGTTGTTGTTTGAAAGCAAAGAAGCAAAAACGTGTGCCCAACGAAAACTCACGCATTTATTTAGAAGTTTGATTGTATAGTTTTTTTATTTTTCGACGATAACTGCAACGTGCTATGTGGAGTTCAAGTTGCAACAGTTTTCTTTTTTTTTTATTCGTTACAAGTAAAATTGGTACAAAAGAGTTATGTTTGTTTAAATGAAAGCTGCGAATTTTCATAATTTATGTTTGGAATTAAATTTTATAATTATATGTACAGCTCGCAACAAAAGATAACACCTTAACATTTTGATCAGACTTGACTTTTTTCTTCTGTTGTTTAATGTTCCTTGTTTTCCTATAAAACCATAGCTCATTGTCTAGTAAAAACCACATAAGTCCAAATTCCAAACTTTATACAAAAATTATAAACATTTCTTAAAATTTTCATCACAATTCAAAGGTTTTTAATTTGGGTTTCTAGAAAAAATTTTGTTTTGCAGTTTACAAAGTAATTTACAGAGAAGAAAGTGCATAATACCGTCAGCTAAAAAAATTATAAAAAATCAACAGGATCTTTTAGCAACTTCAAACCTCCACCTTATTGTACTAAATTTTAATGAGCTACAAAACTAAATAACCATTTTTTTCTAGAAATCCAAATTATAAACCGTGGGATTGTGTTCAAATGTTTAAGAAATTTTTATAATTTTTGTATAAAGCTTGCAATTTGGATTTATGCAGTTTTTGTTAGACAATGAGCTATACTTTTATACGAAAATAATGAAGATTAAATAAGTAGAAGAAAAATAGTCAAGACTGGTCAAAATGTTGAGGTTCTACTGCTTTGTCGTGGGCTGTATTGAACTTTTAAGTTTTTTTTTTTAAATAAATTTATACTGTCCTGGCAGTCCGCCATTTGGTGACATAAAATCCTTTCGTATTCTTCTCGTATGAGTTTTGCTTGTGGTGGTATATATCGCGGCAAAGATTCCGTTATCGGACTTCAAGAAAAATTATAATTTCACTACAAATTAAATTAAAAGTTATGTTGCTTCCGAAAACAAGGATATTAATTTCAGTGATTTTTGGACACATAAGGAAGCAAAAAAGTAAATTATTAATAAACAGCCTAAATATTGATGTGTATTGTTCACTTCAATTGCCGCACAAGAATACAATAAATAGTGCCGCAATTTTGAAATTTTCATTGCCCCATGATTGCCAATCGAGCTATCACACGATTGCCGCACACGGGCCGTATTTGATTGGGCACAGTAAGCACAATATCGGCCTCTATTGCCGCATGAGTCAATTTATTGTGAAATCACACGATTGGGGCATAAAATGAGGCAATAATTGGTGTATTGTGGCAATCGTGGGATCCCAGCTTTAGCTTTTATTAATTGCCTTCATTACTGGTTTACGATACGAAATATGTATTTCGCCTGATTCCTGCACATCAAGTTTTATATTTCTAGCGACTAGCCTCACACTTTTACAAAAGAACTGACCACCATCTAAAAAGTCGTCAGATCAACACAATTCGACTGTACTAAATATAGGTTTTTCAGATCCGAGGGTATCACATGCTTATGTACTAGGATTAATTAAGGGTAGTGTAAGTGAGGAAAGGATTTTTTTCTATTCTTTATACCTTGAAAAGTAGACTTGGATTGTAAATGTAACTTGACCTTGCAATTTTTTCGCCGCTGAGTTTTGGTTTTAGAAAACTGCAGTATAAATTGCGAAAATAAAGTAATGGTACGGGACCTTAACTTCATTGATTAACCTTTAATTAAAACGAAGACTTTTAAAAAAATGATTAGTTAATAAACTTATGATAGCCATTTTTGGAATCACAGTGTAAGCTAGTGGACTTGACTTATGTTAGCATTAAGGTCAACATAATCCAAGTTTGGTTTTTTTTTGCTTTTAATAAATATTTTTAAATATAAATTTCCTTCATAACACTAAATTATATAGCAATAGCCCTGTGCACAGTTTGTAGTTTTGATCTGACTTGAACCTAAACGAAAATTGTGAAACAAGTTGCACTGAACTTAAACAGGTTTCTCGTGCGATCAAAGCAAATGCACATGCAAAAATAAAACTGATTTATTTAAAAATATACACGCTAGTTATAAAAATTATCGATTAAAAATTACTGATAATTTGCATTATTCGCTCTTTCAATTGCTATTATTTATGTACATCATCATTTACTAAGCATAACATAAACAAATGAAACAATCAAAATCAGAAAACCAAAATCTCAAACCAAGAAAACAAACCAAACAAAATATTTGAATAAAAAAACCCCATAGTCTGATTTTACCTCGAACTTGAATTAGCAAATTTGCGATTTTTAATTCGTTTTCGGTTTGATGTAAAATCAAAAGCAAAATTTTATTTTAAAATAATTTTTAAAATATAAATTTTATTTTAAAAAAATTTTGGGTGCGATGTAAGTATACAAACTAATAAACGTTGTACTTTTGTTATGAATAAAAACAATTTTATATTCAATCACTCGAAATATCACCCCACCGGCCATAGTCATCGATTAGTTGAATAGTCAAAATGCTACTTTCGCCCACCACTTTGTAATGCGATGCTCATCATAAATTAATTGGATTCTATAGACTTGCATTGATAATTTCAATAAAATATTCAAAATTGTGGTTTTCTAAATTTGGTATAGTTAGAAGGGTTGCACTGGCAAAAGTGGAATCGTGTTCTCCATTATTCGCGCATTTCATAGCTTCGAAGCATTTTATTTGTGAACACTTTAAAACATCTTTGCATAAAAAATCACAGCGCACATGCATACATACATACATACATACATGTATAACTTAGAGTACTTCCAGAATCCATATACCTATACATAGCAAAAATATTACTTTAAATAAAAATCACTTTAAAAAATAAATCGAAATGGCTTTGACGTACCGATTAGGGTTGTTAATTTTTTCGCTTTTTACGATCCCGGGATTTTCGGGAACTCGTTATCACAATCCCGGGATCCCGGGGTAGAATATGAATATGGGTACCAAATGAAAGAGGAAATTTCTTTAGAATAAAAAAAAAATATCAAAATCTGTTGAATTCACAAGGACGAATAGCTAATTTTTTAAGCTGATAAAGTTAGAAGGAAAAAGTTTGACGATTTTAACGAGTTTATACATATAAGTCCTTAACATATAATTTTTTCAAAAACAAATATTGCGAAATTTCAAGAATAAATTTTTAAAAAGACATTTTCAATACTACCCGTCCTTATTCAGCAAACATTCAACCTGTTTAAATTCTACAAAATTTCTTCTTTAATTTAATACCCATAATTCTTCTCTAAGCACATTTCACTGAATTTTTAAATTATTTTGGAATTACTGACGTCAGAGTGAAAAAAAACTAAAGACGCAATTTTACAATATTTGGCCCGCAGTTTCACGAATGTATTGGTTTTTGTGTGTAAAATTTACTATCGCACGGTGTTATATGTATAATAAGATGACGTTTATAAAAAATTTTAATTATTAAATTAAAAAAAAAAAATATAGCCAATACTGGTCGAGAAAATTATTTTCTATTTTGGGACCTAAAAAGGTCGGGATCCCGGGATCACGGGATTAACATTCCTAGTAAAGATGTCCACCTCTCATCAATACATTTACATACATGCATACTTCCTTTCATATATACATACAAAGAGATATAAAATTATCTCATGAAATCATCAGTTGGAAATCTTATCCGTAGAGGCAGTTACCTATGTATGTACATGCGATAATTGTCGATTTTTCCAATTATTTTGGCAGTTGCTGGCACATTTAGCTTGAATAGGAACCCATTCTTTTAACCGCGCTAATCCAAGATGCTTGCTATTCTAGTCACTGATCAGTGATCGTATCGTGTAACCTTTGATTTAGCCCACCAATTAAAATGCCGCATAAATCGCTGCCCTCGCATAAACCATACCAAAAGCTAATGTCAAGTTAATGGGCGTTCATTTTCAAATTTTGTTCTGACACATTTACATTTTATTTAAACTATAGATAGTCAATACGATAGTCTGAAATCATCGATAGTGCCGATAATTTTAACGGATTTGCATCTTTAAATATTCATTTTGATATACCACTTTCTGTAAATAAAATATTGGTAGAGCTTTGTAAAACATCTAGAAGATTTGTAGAGAAATAGCTCATGGAAATATTTTTTTTTTCTAAATCCTGTATGTGTTTAAAGCTTGATTATATATTTATGTGCTTACAATGCGTATGTTAGGAATTTCGAAAAGTAACGTCTCTACGGAGGCGTGAGTGTTTGAGCCCGAAAACCACCCCCGTAAATCCGCCACTGCCAATAATTATAATGCCCGATTTAGAGATGCCTTCCAACTGATCATATACCAATGCACATTCTCAGTTACAAACGGATGTAATATTCATCAAAATTGCACAGACCACATTACAAACGTATGCATATTTATTCATTTAATGACATAACAAAAAATTAGAGGAGCTACTATACGCTTTTTTTGATTTATTTTTTTCATTTCAAAATTCATTAGTTCTATTCAGTAAAGAAGCTTCACAGTTTCCTGCTCACTTTAATTCGCTAGTAACTTAAACCATTGAACTTTCACTGTCTCCGCTTTTGTAGTTTTAGTTTACCTTTCGATTTCTGTAATTTCCTTTGCACTGCTGGTTTTTATTTGCTTTGCAATTGGCAACATGCTTTGTGCTTTAACTATAGAATTTCTATTTATTTTAGCTAAGAAAAAACTATTTTGCGTATTCATGATTTCATTATTTTTATGAATTTGTGCATTACGTCCATTTCGTTATCAGACAAATGAAATGAAAAAAAAAAAATAAAAATAAAATCCCATCAACTCTATCAGCCTTGTACAAATACAAATCGAGCATTGCCATTTCATGTAACTACTTTATAAATTCTACATACATAAATATTTAGTTCATCATTTGTTTGATGTGATTGTTGTGATACGAGCAGAAAACGATATTGACTACTGTATTTTCTTTGTACTCTTCTCTGCCGAATGTTCTTCGTTTTGTTTTTGGTTTTTATTTGTGCCGTTTTTTTTGTTTCGGTTATATGCAACGCGCCGGAAACTCATTCAACAATTCAAACATTTTAGTCCTTTAAGGTAAATAATTCAAACAATAAACACTTATGTACATATGTATGTAAATGCAAAAGCCACTCGAAAACATTCACGCATACGAAACAAACAAACAAACATACATACATATGTTATACGAGTACCTATTTAATATACTACAAGTTTTACATAAAAACGTTTCTAATAATAGTACATACATACATACATTGAATACTTCATGCATAAATACATAAGCAAGATACAAAAAAATTATGCACCAGGTTGAACTGCGCTTGCATTGAATATGTTTGTAATGCATGCAAATAATAAAACTAAAATAAAAACAATGCTTGTCGTTTTTTTTCTTTACGCGCCTACAAAACTAAGAACCATGCAAATTTTTAATAAAAAGAGGAATGAATCTGCATACATAGATATCTAGATATGTGCATATTTATATTTCGTTTCATCACCACATCGAGTAGAACGTTCAGGGCCTGCGTTGGGCAGTGTCACATTGCACCCGTTGCACCACCCGCCGCTGACCACTAGATTTCACTAAGTTTTTTTAGCGACGCACAGTGACTTCGCTGAAACTTGTCATGTGGTGTAATCTTCCTTAGGAATCTCCAAACGCGCCTAAGCTGTCTAGTCGATATGGCGCCGATTTAAGAATTTCTACGGAAATGTACCGTTCGTAGAGAAGGGGTGTGTAGCCCAGTAAAATTAGATAAATTTGGTAGGAAAATTGAAAAAATTTGTTACAGCGATTTTTTGATGCAATTTATTTATACATATTTGACACGTAGATCATGGATCCACAGTCTTGCCCCTAAATTTCATTTGGCAAGATTCCGCCCTCTTGGATTATATTTTTTTGGGGTTTTTTTGCGATTTGCAAGTTTATTTTTCATTTTTCGTAAAAAAATTTTAAATACAAATATGGAGAGAATTTAATTTCCCAAATTTGTTGTATAGAAGGTTTTTAAAAAAATAACATTTTTTATTGTAAAAAATTAGCAAAAACTGCGAAAAAATTTTACCGTGTCACGGTTTTCGCCATTTTGACAATTTCTGTTGAATATATATACAGTGGTGGAAGAAATAATAGAAACTTTTTACTTTGACCAGTTTTGGCTATATTACTTTGTTTATTCGATGTTTAATGTTTTTGTATAAAAGTCTAGCGCAATATATAACACACACTATATAAATCAATATTTCAAAGTTTGTACAAAAATTATAAAAATTCAACAAATTTGGGGATTTTGATAAAATTTGTTGAATTATTATAATTTTTGTACAAACTTTGAAACGTGGATTTATATGGTGTGTGTTATATATTGCGCTAGGCTTTTATACAAAAATATTAAACATCGAATAAACAAAGTAATATAGCTAAAACTGGTCGAAGTAAAAAGTTTCTATTATATCTTCCACCACTGTATATATATATTTTTCGCAGTTTTTGCAAATTTTTTACAATAAAAATTTTTTTTTTTTTAAATCCTTCTATACAACAAATTTGGGAAATGAAATTCTCTTCATATTTGTATTTAACAATTTTTTACGAAAAATGCAAAATAAGCTTGAAAATCGCAAAAAAACCTAAAAAATATAATCCAAGATGGCTGAATGTTGCCAAATGAAATTTAGGGGCTAGACTGTGAATCCATGATCTACGTGGCAAAAAGAAGTAAACTGCATCAAAAAATTGCTGTTACAAGTTGTTTTTTTTTTTAAGAAAAAGTGTAATTTTACTGGGCTATGTGAGTAGGTGATGTAAAATTTAAAACCAACCGGTTTTTTTATCAAATGTAACCATGAATTTTTTCCACCTGCCTCCATAAAGATGAAACACTGTGCGACGTAAGCGGACGGCCTTGTTTCCCCTGCTCTAAGAGTGCCGCTATTCAAATTTCTTCCGAAGTAAAGTACTTAGTAGCAGTCTTAGTTAGTCAACTTTTATGAAAGCCTCCATTGAGTTTTCCATATTACAAGCTTATTGAGTAGTGCCAAGAAATAAAATAAATACATTTTTAGGTCATAATTATTTGACATTTTTTAGACAAAAGGCTCAAAATTATTGGAGAGTTTTAAACACAAATTTCGAAACCATTTTGCATCTGAAAACATTGTACAAAATTTCATACACTTAAGTTTTTAGCTTAATTGTTAGAATTGCAGCTTCGTTTAATTAATTCGCTGAAGCATGACAAAATAATGTAGAAATCCTACAAGGAACACATTTTTGCATGCAAAGTTGCGTTATGCTCATCGCTTCATGGAATAAATACATACGTATATGTAGTTAGAATATATACCAACAAAGCAGAACACAAGCGATTATAAGATATACATTAACACTACAAGCAAAGAAAATGTGATAAAAAAAATATTTTTAATTATTTCCCGGCGATAGACATTACAAATCAACATACATCTTAAAATCTTAATACTCCCACATTTACAGTGCGACCAGTATATCTTGATACAAAAACAAAGTAGTTTTTTTATTGATCAAAGCTGTACTTGGAAAAGTTGAAACGGTTAAAAGTTATAATTATATAATTATAACGATTTAGAAGGCAGTTACTCCGTTATTTGCCCTCTGTTTGACGAAACACGCTTAAGTCCTTTTTCAAAATTGTTGCAAGCGGCACGCTCCACGTCCATCGGTATATTGTCCCATATGTCGAGAATGGCTGCTTTAAAACCCATCACTTTTTTTCGATTTGTAATCCTGTAATCCTCGAGTTCTTGCAGCATATAAACCCAAATGCAAAAGTCCAAGGTACTATAGTCAGGTGATATCGTTACACCGTTATAACACTTATGTGTGTATTATGTGATCGTTTAAGTAATATTCTCATGAGTTCTCTTACATATCATTGATTTCGTCTAGAGTCTGGTAACTGAGATTTCCACTGTGCCAAAACAGGTTCTGGCATTAAAATATTTTCTACAGGTAAACTATTCTGGTGCTTAATAGCTTTTCTTAACAATATTCTTCCCAACGCAGGATCTGCACAAGCCCCACCATACAAAAGTAAATCAGAGACAATTACTTCTGGAGCTGAACAAATTCTCTTAACAACGGTTATCTCTCGTTGTGTCTGGAATGGCCCTACGACGAAATATATTAACAATCCTGTTACTGGCAAGTTTTTTCTGACAAGGGTTTTCTTGATACTGCCACGACAAGCTCTGGCAAGTGACAGCCATACAATAATAAACTTCTATCAGGGCACTTTCTCCGAAGCTTAACTTTTTGCACCAGAGGTTAAACTGGTTGTAGCATACAAGAACTTATCAGAGATTTTCATTTTTGCAGCTTAACTGGGTACGATTTCCAATTATTGTATAATACTATACCTAAATATCGTCGTTTAAACTACAAAACCGCGTACCGTTGTTCTACAAATCCGCGTAATTGACATTTTTTGCAAAAAATTGGATTTGCTAACACAAGCTCGTGAGCATTTTTTAGAATTAGATTTTTAAATCGCAAGATTGCATTCAAAATAAGAAAACGAAAAAATAAAAGTATAATGCGCGCGTGGTTTTTATTATAAAATGAAAAGAATAATTACGATGACGTCTTCTTTAATAGTCTATATTTTATGTATTTTTAATAAAAATAGTGCGAGTGAAATATTATTACATTGGTATAAATATGGGAAGGAAAATACTCAGATTTATGGTTTTAATATTGTCAAAGTGACAAGGCCGTTGATAATACTCACAATTTATGAAACTTCAAAATATTTTATTATCCGTCAAAAGTTGTTTATTGAAACTACCTGCTTTTTTGATTAAATTAATGATTAAGTTTTCAGAAAAAGTAATTGTTTAGTTTTTATTCATAGGACCCAGTGGAAGAAAAACATTTTTGTTGCCCAATTGCGGTGAAAAAATGGATAAACACAAAAGAACATTTTTAATGCAAAAATAATCGCAATTTAGGACTGCACTGTAAATTAAAATAGGAAATTCAAAATAAAACGAAAAAGGGGCAATTTAGATTTACAGTAAAGGACCTGTTCAGAACAATGCATTCGTGGCTAGCTAAAATTTTAGTATAGACTTTGTTCAGAAATGTAGGAAAGGGCATATAAAGAATTTCTTCAGGAAGTGAGTGTAATACACTGATCCGAAAGTACAATTGCTTTTTCAGCCAAGTTATTGTTTGTTTTTTTCATGTTAAGTAAACCGATTGAAAGAAATGTGATTCAAGTTGAACATTTGAAAACAAATTCGTATGTCTGGCTGTAGCTGAACGTGTAGAGCAGGCAGAATCGAGTACGATTACCGTCAGCGGCAAACACATTTTGATATTTTCCCTGTTTTTTTTTCATAATTACGAAAAAGCATCTGTGAAGTGCAGAACCAAATCAAACGACGAAGAAAATTGATTCGACTTCAACGTTTGCGGATAAACATGCAGAGCGCCTGTGGCTGATTGCTGTTATGTAGTAACTTTCAGAAGAACCGCATCTTCCCGTCAGAGGCAACGTGCTAAAATGATAATAAACATTTTTGTTTTGAATCTCTGAATTATGAAAAGGTATCTGTTCAGTGCAGAACATAAACGTATTCAAACGAAAAAATCGCCAAACAAATGTTTGGTTAATGTAAACAATATTGTGGTTAATATTATCAAATCATTGTTGTATCAACCAAGGCATTAACCAAAAATCACGTCGATTCCTTTTCAAGTTTGAATTTGGTGATATGTATTAACCAATTTTTGGTTGATTTTTCTTTCAGTGTATTAAATATGCGTTGCTTAAAAAGCGCAGTCACAGCGCGGACGATTATATTATCAATTTTCATTTGATCAGCAGTCAGGCACTCAATTTGAATACATACACAATTCTGGTAGAGTGGTTCAGATAAGTTAACGTAATCTTATTTTCTAAAGTTTTGCTTTTCATTTTTGCCAATGCACTATGGGAAATTTTATAAATTTGTTATCAAAAATTAATTATGGCTAAACAAGTACATAAATTAATAAAAAAATATATATATTTATATATATCTTAACCCTCAACGGCCGATGGGTCTAAAATCGTCACTTTTTATTTTGTGGTTTTATTAAAAAAAAATGTAGTAATATATATATTTTTTTAATATTCGTGTGAAGTTAGTTATAAAAACTATTTATATCATTGCCATTTTTGAAAAGTGTTTACAAATCATACTAGTATCAATTGAAAACCCGAAGGTCTCAGTTTCTTTACTAGCCTACTGAAAAGTCAGAGGGAGCAACCTTTTCAATAAAAATATTATAAACAGTCTATCCGTTTCTGTTTCTGCCCACTAATTATGCATTTACAAAACAAAAACAAAAAAACCGTGTCATACAAAATTTTTTTACAAATGATCAGAAAAATATTACAATGATCAAACACTCAACTGTTGAGTTGATCAGAAGTATACAATAACACGTAGTGAGCAGCTGCGCCTTCTGAACTTACCCATTATTTCACTCACACGTGCAGACATAAATAAAGTGCTGTTCCATATGCCTTTATTAGATAACAAAACCTAGAACCTAATTACAATACATGGGAATGTGGACTTGTTTTTGACAGAAAAACGGTGAAATAATAAAAAAATATTACTACTTTTTTCTGTCCGTATAGATTGGTTAGGGCTGATCTTGTCTTGCTTGTTTGGAGTTGATCAACATCTCAACGAGTCAGAGACCACTTCAATGCATGTACGTACGTATGTATGCATGTAACAATGTGAAGCTTTAAATTTCCCTTAAATAAAATGTGCATTCTGCATCTGCCGATTTGCATGCAACCAAGGAAACATCCATCTTAGCATAACTTAAAATGTTGAATAACGCAACACACAGACCTACAACATATGTACATATAAAAAGTTTGAATGTTGAACGAAACATTTACATAGGATAGATACCCCAAGTGCCTTAACACGAATACATTGCACGCAATACTATAGACCTACTACATACATATCTACCTACCACAACTACATTCATACATAAATATCGCATTTGCAAATGTTTAGAACCCAAGTAAAAACAAAAAAATAAACAAAAATTAATTGAATTTCAATTGATTATGTACTTTTATTAACGTTGTCGGCAACTCGTACGCTGATGGCGCTGATCACTTTGTGCAACGACCTTGAACCTCTAAATGTTTCTGTCGCTGCTCTGCTTGCTCTGTCGTTTGACACAAAATCCAAAACACAACCAATATCAAAACCAAATCATTACCACAACAACAATTCGCAAATTCGCAATCGCGTAGTTGATGAACGTAAGTATGTACGAGATTTGCAAGAAAAAAAAATTAAATATAATAAAAATTTAAAACAAGTCTATAAATAAATCGTATGCTTGAAGTTAATGAACAATATTAATAAAATTCAAATTTATATTCAAAGAATGTACTGAATTTAAGTGTGCAAAATTGTTTCTTGTCAAAATGTCCAGTGATGCGTCTTTATCTTAATTAACTTATATATAAAAAAAAAATTCTAATGTATGAACACAAATTAAATTTTAAATTTGCAATATTTTTTGGTTTTACTAAATAAATACTCAAAATGCTGCTTTCTAAACCATATCAAGTGCTATGAATACAAAATATGACTAGCAATAGGAAAAACTGAATTTAAACTTTTTTTAATATGAAGTACGGCTGTCACTTAAAGGATTTCCACTAAATGCCAGTCTCCGCAAATAAATCTTTCAGTAGCCTCACACTTTGAACTGCGACTTCCGAACTTTCTTATTAGCGATTTGATCCACAGCACAACTACATTTTTTAAATTATATCAAACAACTACGAGGGAATTTTGATAAGACAGTGACTTTTTGAACAAAATTTATTTTTAAACATAGTCTCCTTTTCCCAACATAGTCTCTTTTAACTCGATACACTTAGTCCAGAGTATTTTAATTTTTTTTTTTTTGTATCGCTTACAAATTGTGGCCCGATTTTCCGCCATCGCTTGTCAAATTTGATTTGGACACAAATCGGTTTTGGCGTTGTGTCATCTTTAGTGTTATTTTCCATTCTTTATCGGCTTTCTTTGGTTCACATTCACTTCGATAAGTTCACTGCTTTGACTGTTACTTCGCCTCTGATGTATTGAGAAAATATTCGTGATAAATATGATATATTTGCTCAGTGGTGATGACTAGCCAGAGTGACCTAACGCATTTTCATCCTCGATCATTCAGTATTACTCCATAGATTTTATCGGCCAATTAGGGCGTACGACCTCTGCTGGTAGACGTGTATGGCATTAATAAGCCACTTCTCAAACCTGACTAGACCCATTAAATACATAACATACATATAAACTGGACATACATGTTTGGCTTTCTTTGCAGGGTACAAATGCCCAAAACGTTAACAAAATAATATAAGTAGTGTATTTATATGCAATTCTTGTTTTCGTTCGGAATGTATAGTAATGTCTTCCAAAGACTTCTGAAACTATGGCGCGAGTTTTTCCACCACAAAAAAGACTAGTAATACAAACAGCTGATAGAGTGTGAAGAACTCTAAATGTCATGAGACCTCTTTGTGTGTTGGTGAAGGAACTTAGAATAATTTAGACTAAATTTTGGAGATGAAAATAATTCCATTAATCTTGTTTTTGGGGTCCACTTAAACTTAAACTTAAACTTATTCACATAATATACTCATTCTATACGTTTTGTCATAAGAAACATACCTTGTAATAATAGTATTTATGTAATTTAAATGAAGCTTCGACTCAGCGATGCTTTAATTATATGGCCAAGAAAGAAAAGAAATTAATTTTGAAAAAAAATATACATATATATATATATATACTATATATAGGAAAAGACTCACCAGGTTTTTCGCGCCCGATATGCTGAAGGTGATCTAAAAATAATAACTAAAAAGCATACCCGTACTAACCCCAACACCATTGTACAAAACACTAAAACATACTAGTACTGAGTATTCCCAAGGCCTTTGCTGGGTGCACATAGTGCACGGTAAAAATCGGGTTTTCGTATGGGACCGATTTGCAAACCGTTCAATCCGTGCACCGTGCAAGGGCTTTTCAAGACTCTGAGAATACCCCTACTATGCTTTCACTAGATACCTTGCAAGACTTCGGGGTACGGAAGCAGATCGCTCAAAGTCTGTAGCAGAAGTACATTGATATTTCGGAAAATTTCCTAGATTCCTTATACTACAGAAGAAAACATTGGCTCGCACAGGACACGGGTCCTAAACAATAGGCTTCTACGACGAAATAAAAATTGCTGCATTGTTGCAATATTGCACTTACCCTTCCCTTTGGACTGCCCTCCTTAATTTAAAAATAAGGATGCTGAGTTTAAAGCAGGGGCGCTCAGCAAATTTAACATACTGAGCCAAACGGCAACAGCCAAGTGATATTGTCGTGAGCCAGCTGAGCTTCACGGTGGGCACCCCTGGTTTAAGAATAAATGGTTTAGAAATCAGCAAGAAATGTAAAGTGCATCCTTAATTTCCAGCCTTTTTAAACAAAATATTATTAAAGGTAAAACCAAAAAGTAAAAGATTTAATTAAACATATTCTTAAAAATACTTTCTATGCTACAGACAATAGTGTAAAAAAAAAAAACTTGAATGATAAAAAACTCACAATAATCAAATTCCTAGCATTAAGTCCTAATCCTCATGAGCCGCAGCACGTCAACTTTAGCTACCTATGTACATCCATATACATATATCACTTGCACCTATAAATATTTAACTGTCATGAACGAGTATATATGTATGTACATACTTATGTACTAGTAAATACATGAATATACAAAAATCTTCCATATGTTTGTATCTCAGAATATTTATCATCTTCTCAGAGCCTCATATGAAGTACTCTTAATTTTATTAAAAAAAAAAAAATTTAATTTGAAATTGTACAAATTTTTACTTGTTACTCATTTGTTTTATTAACTACCATCGAACTTCTTTTTTAGTATTAACTACAAATCTTGCTATTATATATTTTATATTCCTAGATGTCTATTTTATGTAATTTCAAACAAATGTACATATGTAGTATGTACCTATTTACATACATACATCAACATTTATAACTGTACAATTTTGTATAAAAAATTCACAAACTTCATAACTTTAATAATCTGTTTATATATGTAAATACCTTAAATCTACTTTACTTATATATATAATCCGTTGTCTAAGATGTATGCTTGCTAGTGCCTATAATGTACATACTTACATATAGATAGATATATTAACATGTACCTATTTATAAAAATGTAGATATTTTGTCAATATGCATTTTATTCCCCAACCAAAACGTCTTTATGTATTGATCCATAACAATTTCTTATAAACGTTTTTCCCCACAGGACAATGAAAACGGAGCTCTACGCAAATTTTATGACGTTATTATGGATAATGGCGGTGAGGTGCTAACCGATATTAGCAACTTGGGTGAAATTACTATTCTGGCTCCGAGCAATGATGCCTGGGAGGCAAAGGAAGTACAAAATGTCATAAGGTAATACAATTATTTTCGAATACTTACATAGCATACTGTGCGACATTCTAGCGTTCTGTTCATACGAGTATAATCTGTAAGACCAAAATATAGTGAAATAAAATAAGCACTTACAGGTCCATTCTGTGTTGGGAACAAACATTTTGTAACTAGCTAATAAAGTTCCTGTCAAATTTTAGAATCCTTTTCGCATTCTGTGCACTCTTAAAACCCGTAAATTTTGTTGCCATTTCTCATAAGTGAGGTAAAAAAATATTGCCCCGTGAAATATGCAATAACAAAATTTTCACAAATCTTCATAGCTGAATTGCTGAATATTTTGACTGCATTACCAACGTACCTAGAATCGCAGTGACAAGAAGTGGTAACATTTTTTGGTAATCAAATTTTACGGTTACAAAATTATCTGTAACATGCAAAATAGACCTGTTAATGTGCAGTTAGACGTGGCAATCTTTTAGAAATTTTTACTTAAAATTTTAATTTTTTTAATTGAAATTTCTTTCAATTTTAATATTTTATTGTTTTTTAAAGAAAATTATATATTTTTGATTTTCATTTAATTTTTGAAAACAAGAAAAATATATATTTTTTTATTTCATTTAATTTCTAAAGATTTATTTAATTGTTTTTTCTTCTTTTATTTAATTTGTTTTTCTTTTGCTAATTTAATATTTTTTTTAGTTTTTAGATTTTATTGTATAATATAGAAAATTTTATGTTTTATTTCATTATGTGTATTCTCTGATTCTTGCAAAGCCCTTGCATGCATGGCACAGCGTATTACAAACCGTACAATCCGTGCACCGTGCAAGGGCTTTGCAAGACTCAGAGAATACCGCTATTGAATTTTTATGATCTTAACTTCTTCTCTTTTGATACATTTTTCTCTAATTTGGTTTTTAGATTATATTGTATTGTATTATATTAAGAAGAGCTTTTCTATTTCATTGAATTTTTAAAAATATTTTTATTTATTTGTGCTTTGTTTTCGTTTTATTTTTTTAATCTAATATTCGTTTATTTTTTAGTTCATATTGTTTTAAAAAATATGTGTGCACTTTTAAATTTAATTTAATTAAAAAAAAACTTATTGCCAAAAGTTCAACAGCTCACCGTTAAGTCCTCTGCGTTAGCAGATCTTTTAATAAGTCTTTCGAAAAACCGTAAAGAGCTTTCAAGATTGTTGTCAGAATTAACAATTGTCTTATGAAAGACTTTTGTGTTCCGAAAAACTGTGGGTAGTTGAAAGCGGATGTCTAAGTCAAAACCTAAGGATAGAACTAAAACTGAGATCAAGATAAATATTTTCAAATTTTTTGAGTATGAAACAAACTAGAATTTAATTTTTTTATTACTTATCAACCTTTCTTTCTATTTCTCAGTATTTGTCGTGCAGTATCTTTTTGTTGAGTAATGTATGTAGCTAAGCTAAGTGCTTCCTTTCTTTTTAGAAATCGTGAGAAACTCCGTGCCATCTTGAATATGCATATTATCAAGGACAAATTGAATGTGGAGCGCATTCGTCAGAAAAATGCGAATATTGTAAGAAAAATATTTTAAAATAATACATACGAGGGTAGTGCCAAAAGTACTCGACATAACTTATCTTTGAACAACACTACTTCACTCTCAGTGAAAAAATGGCTGGGTGGTAAAAGATTTGCCCACAATGAAGAGGTAGAGTCTGCGGCAAATGAAAATTTTCAAGAGCTTGGCGGTTCCTACTATAAAGAAGGGTATCGAGGCTATTTATAATCGTCGGTTAAAATGTATCTAGCCAAAGGAGTAAACATTTTTTTCTTTGTCAAGTCGTGTACTTCTGGGACCGCCTTCGTGCTATATAATTGCATAACATATTGAAAGGAACAGTTTTACATTGTCGTCTCGCTTTACAGATCGCTCAAGTACCCACCGTTAATAATCGCACATTTTTGTATTTTAATATCAACGATGAAAATGGCGAAGAAGTAATAACCGTTGAAGGTGGTGGCGTAAACGCTACAATTCTACAAGCGGATGTGGCCCAAACTAACGGTTACGTACATATTATTGATAAGGTTTTGGGCGTCCCATACACCACAGTGCTGGGCAAACTCGAAACAGATCCTATGATGAGGTAAAATTAATATGAAAACACACTTAATTTTTAGATACTAAATAAAAATAAATTAAATTTCTTTTCCAGCGATACCTTCAAGCTCGGTCAATTCTCTTCATTCAACAATCAGCTGAACAATACTCAGCGTCGTTTCACATATTTCGTGCCGCGTGACAAGGGTTGGCAAAAAACTAAACTGGACTATCCCTCGACACACAAAAAACTCTTCATGGAAGACTTTTCCTATCACGTAAGACCATTTTTGCATTACAGCGTACATTCACATACTTCAATCAATCACTTTTATAGTCCAAGTCAATCCTGGAACGTCACTTGGTGATTGCCGATAATGTGTACACAATGAAGGACTTGGTAGCCATGACAGCTGAGTCGGGCGACTCAATTTTACTGCCCACCTACAGAGATTCCTTAAAGGTGAAAGTAGAGGAAGAATCTGGACGTAAGTATTTGGCGAATATAGAAATAAAAAATCAAAAAACGTTTATAACAGAGTGCATGTCAGTAGACATATTTTTTTTTTAAGATTATATAGTTTGGATTGCTGCAAATTTATTTCGTACTAATGTATGTTAATCAAATTCTCTTCATTTCGTTACAAAAAAAAACAATATTATTGCTTTATTTGCTTACGTGAAGATCTTCACGATGAATATGCTTCACATGAGTGGACTGGTGAGTGGTGACACCAATGAAAATTCCCATTAGAAAATCACTCATCTAGATTTAGTACTTAAAATATTGTTATTAAAGCTTTTGTATTAATACTCGTATGTTCATCATTTGCGCATCTTCATGCATACATTTAGTGCATTTATAATAGATATTTGTAAAGAGAAAGTTTAGAGACCTTTAAGTTCCATAGAATTTCCAGGAAATAACGACGACATTATTATATAGCTAATCTCTGAACACCAGGAGAGGACAGTGAGCCTGTTCCCAGGAGACTAGTCCGTAGTGAGCTAAGGGCACGACACTGGCTGAGGATATGTTCCAATGTCTCGCCTTTTGTTCAGCGAATTTTTCTAAAAATATTATTAACTCATTCTCTACAGGTGATTAGGCTAGCGCACAATACAAAAATAATGAATACTAAATAAACAAAAGGAAAACTATAAATACTAGGAATTAAAAGGGTGCGCTATTCAAATGACGAGCAGTGTATTTTTTATATGTAGATCAGATCAGTAAGTGTTTCGACTTGGAGGAAAATTAGCTTTTTTTTCAATTTGTCGTAACACCTTCGGCGTTTACAATCGAATCTTGAGATGTTCTTGCCTCAATGAGCATTTTTTTCGCTCCAAAGTTCATTGTGCTCAATACCCCGTTCTAGTACTTACCCACCAAATCTCAGTTTTTATCACCTTAATGTAACACCCTATTGTCAGTAAATTAAGGCTCACCAATAATCATTAAGCTTTAGCTAAAAAAGTATTTCAATTATTCCAGTAAAACTATTTTATAAATTTTTGTTATTGCCGAACGTAGGTGTCCCAGAAAATGTAATAAAGTGACCCCTAATTGGGCCAAAAATCTTTTTTTCGTAGATCTTATTGTACTAATGCTTCAAATTGAAACAAGTTGAATTGAAATTGAATTGAATTGAAATTGCCTTGCAAAAGTACTTTAGATTTAGGCATGCCCGCGAATTTATTTTTTTTTTTTATTGCTTCTAAGGTGGTACGGTCTAATGTTCATGTGACTATAAAATGCAATTTTTAACTTACCATATTTTTCTGCCTCTATCTTTATTTTAGTTAAAATAATTTTTTTTTCTAAGCCTAACTGGAATAGATTTTTTTTTTATTTTTAAGAAAATATATCGGTTCATCTCTTTTCGATCACTTCATCACATTTTACCCTCATTCTCTTAGAGGGATAAGGTAGCACTTTTTAGATAAAAAAAAATGTGGCATACATACATACATACGTTTTTCAAGTCTCTAATAAACAGGGACCGAGAACAAAAGTCATGATCGAAACTAAATGTCGTTATCGTAGTGTGTTCATAAGAACGCTTCAAAACCAAAACAAAACTGTGTACAAAACTGTCGAGAACATCCTCAATGGGAAAAATGTAAAAAAAATGCGAACAATACTTTCGGGAAAATTTCTAAGATAGCAAAATGGGAACAAAAGTCTGCGGAACGTTTTGGGAGAGAATTGAACGCGAAAAAAAGTATAAGGAACTTTCTCGATGAACAGAAGCGAGAACGCATTTTTTTACATAGGGGTCAATAGTTTGAAATATTCGAATATTAAAATTAATCAAAAAGAACTGTAAGATAATTATGCGAATTAAGGCAACGAAAGACTTAAGACGCGAATTTTTCTTTAAATGGAATAAAATAATAATAAACGATGAGAAAATTGCAAGGATCAAGATTTCCTCTGGCTTAGAATTAACAATCGTGGTTCTCGCTGAAATGATTATTCATCCCAACACGCAGACGCCAGTCGCATTCTTAACGTTAACTTCTCAAAACTTTTGTTTTAGGTGTGTTCTCTAGCAGAACGTTCCCCAGACTTTTGCCTTTGTTGTTATTTGGTCCTCCCTAAAAAGGTTCTCGATAATTTCGTTCTCATTCTGTTCTTCTTGAGAACGTTCCCGAGAGTTGTTTGTTTTCGCATTTTGTTCTTTACGGGAGCGTTCCCGAAACTTTGGTTCTAATTTAAACGGCTCTCAATACTTTTTTTTTGCAGTTTGGCTCTTTTGTAGGAACGTTCTTGACATTACATTTTATTTTCATGCGAAACTAAACCAAATTGGAGCGCGTTCTCGGTGCCTGCTAATAAATCATTTCATTTTGCAACTTTCCGAAGTGTAAATTTTTTATTACAAAAACAAACAAAAAATTCTCTCACTTTCAGGTTATGTGATCACTTGGAACTTCAAGAAGATCAATGTCTACCGGCCGGATGTTGAGTGTACCAACGGCATAATACACGTCATCGACTATCCCATGCTGGAGGAGCGGGATGTCGTCGTCAACGGAGGTAGCTATCCGTTAGACACTAACTTGTGCATTCTCTTCACAAATACCCTCATGATAGCAATAGCGCAATTTCTTTTCTTAAATAATTAATTATGTGTATAAACTAAATTACAAAAGCAAAAAAAAAACACAAAAGCAGAAAAAACAACTCATTTCAAATGAAAACAAAAAAACGAATGCAAAACATTCAGCAAGTGAACATACATTCACATCCAAATCAAAAATTCATAGCCAGCAAAATGACCATCACACATCCGATCACCATATTTGCCTGCCACATACATATGTACATATGTACATACATACATAAATGCATATGTAATGTAACATAGAGATCACCAATCGCCCGACACATCATTAAGCATACGCATTGATAATAAGCAGAAAAATAAATAAAAATAAAAATAAAACAATCAAATTTCGCAACTGCCGATCGACCATTCATTCAACAATGCGCGCACCGCACCGTTCAACAACTTTGAATGCAAACTCCCATTCACCCACGGCTGATCTTGTAATTGAGAAGAGAACCAAATTTAAATCCAAAAAACGAAATTCACATGTATGTAAATAACTTGTGACCAAAGAAGAATTGCATTAATAGTGGTGTTTGCGTATTGGCGCCTAGTTAATGCGAACGTCATTTACAACAAATCATGCATATGCATACCATATACTACATATTTAACGATACGCATTAAGTTTGTTTGTATGTATAAAAATTGGTATTATCCTTATGCTATACTTTGCTCTTATTCCTTTTTTATTTTATTTTTTATTTTATTTTTTCTATTTTAAGTTTACACCTTAGTAGTTTTTATGTATTTAATTGCCCTTATTATCCATCTGTCTACGTTTACTGTTACAGCACAGAATGCCTATAAGTATGCAATGCCTTCTGTGCTAAGCGTTATCACTGTAAAATAGCAATGAATGATAATTATTGACTTGTATGTGCTAAATAGCTAAAGTTAAAATGTGTACGAATTTGTATTTTGTAATTTTGTATATTTGCTACTTTTGTTACTCAGTTTAAGGCATACAAGTGTTTATTTTTTCATGGTACTTTTTAGTCACATACTTACGTACATACATACATAAGTAATAATGTATGTATAATTACTTTTAGTTTGAATTGGTTTCTTTAAAATAAAATTCAAAGAAAAAATTAAAAAAAAAAATCGTAGTTTTCTATTTGAATCTTATATTAGTTTTTAATTAATTAATTAGTTTTCATATCAGTGGTTATTTATTTGTTACAATTTTCATTTAACAAACCAGCTGAACATCTATAAGATTCTTAAGAAGTATCAAATCGCATCTGAAAGTGAGTAAAAAAGCAATATTTTTTCAAAAGAACTGTTAAAACATTTTCAAAAAACTATCTACAGCTTAAATGTATTCGATGTGCTTTTGAATAAGAGTATAGTAGGCTGCATGTTTTCTTCATTCTAATGCCGGATTTCCAGTGTGTATTAAATGAAACAATTTTAATGCAAAACAAAGAGCTTTAACAAATTCCCTTTAGCATTGCGCCAATAAAAATGGTCACCAACAGCTCTATTCCCATGTCAATGCCAAAACCAATCACAAGGCTATTGAAGGGATGCCATATTTCAATCGATTCAATCGACGATCGATTAATCTAGTCCTTCTGATTCGATGTTAGAAAAACTCCAAAAAATTTCATGAAAATTTTGCAATCCTTATTTATCCCATTAAAAAAAAAAATTATTATGCTGTTTTGTAGCCCATTGGATTGTAAAGTGCATGTTTAAATATGCTAGGCGATTCTTTTTCACATCTTTCAAATTTTGCATACGTTATATGAAGAAATTTAGCAAAAGAAATTTACAAAAATCAGTTATACAAAAATTCTAAGGGCTACAGTACTCCATACTAAAATTTTTTCTAAAAATAGTTATTAAAAAAAATTTAATATCTCCATTTTTTCAAAAAAAAAAAAATATGTACGTATGCTTTTTAATATGTTAATACGGTTAATTTTTAAGTAAAACATAACATACTTTTAAAAATTTTTTTTTATTTCGATCTGCATTTAAAACTCTTAGGTGGTCATAAATCGGAATAGAGCTGTTAGGTCGCTTTCAGAATTCGGCATGGAATAATGGAAACTACACTAGCTTCCCACTTTTTCATTCTTACGCGAGTCCGATATTCGTGATAAGGCAAAGGTACCCCAAGTCCATATCCAAAGGATAATACATACACCATATTATCGTAAGCATGAAAGCCGTATGTATGTTGTATTAGGTATGCTAAACTTTTATAATTTTTCATATCGCATTTTTCATATAGGAAAAATTAAGGCAACCATAATCATACATACATACCTAGATATTTCGATATTCATTTTCATCATTTGATGTGCATTATGTATAGTCATATATGCATTGATAAAATATATAAATTAAAATACTTGTATACATATGTATAAAAACTCAACTGCCGAAATCCATAGACAATTTTAGTCAAAAATTGGCTAAGATTTGCTTTAAAAAAAAGTAGCCACACGAAAAATTGCGCTGAGGTATTGACTCATCTACATCATTGCCATTTTCATACATATATACATACATACATGTATTTAAGTAAATTAAAAAAAAATCGAAGTTGACATAAAGTTCAATATTTCAGAAAAAACAGCCATAGACAAATATTTTAGGTATTTTATTTAAAAAATAAAAAATAAAAGTCTCAAACAATGACCCAGACGAGAAATTTTGTTTAAGAAATTTAATACTAAAACACCTTCCTAGCTCCTCAATCAGCTGAGTCGAAGTATCCAAACAATTTTGATGCGTCTCAATTTGCGTTAAAGTATAAAGAGCTGTACTTTTAAAAGCTCATTCAGATAATTTTCCTTGAATACCAGAAAGCCCAACGAAGTTTAATATGCCTTCTGCACACCACCTTTTTGTAAGGTTAAGTCCTCTTTGGACGATTTCGCAGATAGTCCCGGCTCTCTGCCACACCACGGGAATGTAGGCGGGTGCTAGACTGTCTCTCATAATAAGTATTGAAAAGAGTTGAAGTACGAGCCTTCCGTCCTGCTTCAACAACACCGAACAGATGCCATCTACGCTGGGGACCTTGTACCGTTCGAAATAATCCAGCACCCATCGTACTGTGTGATGGTACATCAGGCATTTAGTCAGCCTTCAGTCCGCTGAAGACAGTCTGAACGCACAGAACACCGCATCACTCGGGGTGGGAATGGCATCCGGAAAGTGGGCCGATAGCAGGGCGCGTGCTGCTACGCTTAGCCTTTTAAATCTCCTTATTGCATTTTGTTAGACTGTCTGAGTACTCACCGCAGGCAGTTTCCTGTGCGCTTTGGAACCTAAATATCTATTCTCGTTATTGTTTCCTTGATAACTCAGCTCTTATTTTTAAATTGAATCAAACAATCATATTTAAAGATATAGATATCTTATAAACAAATGACATAATGATTTACCTACACACACACACCTACATATTTACATGCATACAGTATAATGCACACTCATTGTAAAAACTCGCCCTGCCTGTATATTTGTTGAGTGAAACATAATTTAAAAATGTATCGTAAAACGGTAGTTGTTAGTGACTAACTAATTTGCTAGTAGTAACAAAACATAAGCATACTTGCAATAACGCCTAACAAAACATTTGTATGTAGTTTACCAACACGCCAACCAGCATACATTACTACGTACTAAATACAATATATATATTTTTAGTGTCACACATCATGCAATGAAAAGTTTATCAACTACATAAAATAACAACAACAAAACAAATAACAAAAAATACCAATGATAGTTATGACATACATACATACATAAATATTAAAAAAGAGCAAAAACAAAAAAGACCTCTTTATTATCGCCCTACAACCATACCAAACGATCAATAATGAACGATACTATGCCGTATATACCTTACTTATATATTTATAGGTTAGGCATTAAACCTAGCAACCTTCAACTACTACACTACATACAGACATTATGTAGGCAAAGCGCAGATCTAGATATGTACATATCTGCATTGATGTGTGTTGACCATAATTCTCAGATCACATTCCGATACTGTTCAACATTGTTATTGATTACGTTAACGACTACGATTTTGAATTCTTCTAACTATTTACTACCACTACTACCATTATTGTATGGTATTTTAGTGAAATTTTAATTACAGTTTGTTCAAGTACATTATACTATTTAATAAGTGAAAAGATATATATATACGTATATATATATATATAAATAAACCAAGCGAAAATGATTGAAATTTGAATTCAAAAAGTAATTAGTTTAGCATGAAACTAAAACAAAAAATATAAAAATAAAACAAATATAAAATTTTTAGCTAAATAGATTGAAAACTAATATAATCATGCATATTTAAGTAGCTAACAAAAATTTAATAAAATTAATTATAAACAAAATAAGTATTCACATACATGCATCATACTACGTGGTGAAATTTCAAGTTGGTGTGCATTAAAATTTGCTGTAGACTAAACTATTTTGGGCTAATTAAAGTGTAAAATGGTGTATGGTAAGCTTGCCTTGTAAATGTAACATTTATGAAAGATAAATTAACTCATTATTAATTAAATTCACACACACACACACACTAGCATTCTTAAGTAAACTTTATATAAAACAGAAAAGTAAATGCAGCCCAAGGACAAAGAATTCCCATCCCCAATTGCAATATAAATGCATTATAATTTAATAAAAACTTTTAAGTCTGGTAAAATTTAATTATATAGCCATATTAGGGGTATTCAGGCTACAGAAAATCTCGATCCGGGGATCTGTAAATATCGAAAGTTCGAGATAATAAAAACGAAAATTTGACGTCACTAGTGGAGGAGCTATCGACATTTATCTTGTGTCCTTATGAACTAAACTTACAATGAAAATTTATGAACGAAGCGACGATAAAAAAGACAACACCAACGGGAATCGGCCGGAATCATGCAAACGGAACCTAAAACAATCAGCCTTGAAAATAGATTTAAAGCTTATCAGCTTATCTAACATATTTGATAGCTTTGTACGTTCTGAAAGCCGTTAGGCCCTCAATATAGGTATTAGCGTGGTTTATAACTCAATAGCTGGGATAACCTAAAAATCAAAGTCTACCAGAGTATTGAGGAGATTAGATTTGCGCTTAATTACCTTTTTGTTACCCAAAAAGGTTTTAATAAATCATCAAAAAAGTCTGAAACGTTCAAATAACCATTCGAAGCAGGACTCAATGAACATTTAAAGTTGATTTGAAAAAATGAGTCATAAAACACTTCTAATATTTACTTTTTGAAGACATCTAGCAAGTTTTTCAGCATCCCGTCTTAGAAGTAAAGCTCCGAAAGGTAAATCTTTATTTATGACCCGTGTTTATAAGGATCTTTGATTCCGGTTATTTTTAATTAAAATTGTTTAAGTATTTAGATACTGATATAATCACCTTCCAAGTAGGGACAAGAATTTCGATACGATACGTTACCATATCGATACTTTTGGCATA